GTGAAATATTCAATGATTTTATCGCCTTTCACATTAAAATGTGCGTAATACTTTTTACACGTATATACGATAGAGTGTTTCAATATAAACTCCATCAGGCAGATAATGCCAATTAAAAGTTTTTACGATACCTAAATCGGCTTTTATACAACTTGACAAATCGATTCTTAAATCGTTTTCAATTATATATCTTATAAAAGTTTGATATCGACTCTTGAAAAACAAATAGAATATGCATTTATCAAGGATGTCCACAACATCCTTACCATCGGTTTATTGTGGTCACAGACGTATTAAAACCATTATTACCACACTCTCTCTTTGAAAATGACAGAGATGATATTATGTTTCGTTTTGGCATTGTACACTCACCATTAAAACATATTTAAGACCAAAAACTTGTGTATACCAAGTACATTCACAGTCAAAACTACGATACATACGCTACCTTGAAGCGTGTTATAGTAAATTTTCAACTAAATTGCGTATTGAACATGAGTGAATAAAGGTTCTATAAGGTCCCCGTGGGTCCTGAACTTGGCCATTCTTATTCAAATGAATGCGGCCAGATTCCCTAGAGGACAGTTCTGCGCCGAGATTCAGAACGCCGCTATCTGCTGCAGTTGCTATAATTTAACGAACATTCATTTTATCGGGGTCATTTTTATTGAACGTTATTAAAGTTGCAATTTTAAAAAAGTATTGTAGTACTGCTCACGATAATATCAGACTTGGTATGGTTATTTTTAAATAAGTTATACTAACAACTAGCCTATGTTATTCAAGCATAACTTATAAAGATGAAGGATTTGTATTTTTGTATGTATTGAAATAACTCAAAAACTACAGGGTTGATTTTATAAAATCTATCAGCGTTTGATAGGTAATTTATCTGTGAGTAACATGGGTTATAACTTCATGCGGACGAAGTCGCGAGCAACAACTGTCTTACTTATAGTACAAGCATTTTTTAAACGGATCCAGTAGTATTTAAATTTTCAAATCGAGGTGCAAGTTAGCGGTGGTCAACTGTCATTATTATAAGAGTAATCTATATGTACGTATTACGTGGTCCAGTTTTTAGATGCTGTGTGCCACTAATTTTGTGTCATTGTCCGCACTAGACACGTCGGCACCTTATTCACGCACGACGTATAATTCACTCTACGTTCGTGATACATTCAACTGACAACATGCAAAACATCCGGGTTTTCGTTACTTTGATCTACATGTAAAATTAGTAACCCGGTCCCAAAACAACAATAATTCCCATGGTTATTATTACTAAATGATTTGAAGCTAAATTAAAACCACCAATTGCTCTAACTGTTTAAAACGTACTAGCTGTTACTCGTGACATCGTCTACAATAAAAATTATACAAAATATAGCCTGTGCTACTATTATTCTATTAGTATAGATTCAATATCCTTATTTCTAAGTCAATTCCGTTGTATTTATTTTTGTTTGTAGTTCGTCTGTTCATTTATTTATCTTCCGTCTTTAACTTTGTTGTACATCTCTTAACTGCTTGATGAACTTGCATCTAAAATCCTACAATTGAGCAAAGGAAATAATGCAATACTACACACGAGCGTCTCTATCAACAAACAAACGCGACTTTACGAGGAAAATTTACATTAGGCTGGTTTAATGTCGCAGAGCAATCTCATTCTGGGGAGAAAACTGGGTAACGTGCAGCCAGTGAACTTTGACCTGTCAAACAAGGGGTACCTCTTAATTTATCCGAAGAGCGATAGGTCGGTGTTTGATGGTTTCATTGCGTCTGTTACGATGCGTCGGCCGATATCGTAAGGGAGACAAATGCGCCGAATATCTCTAAGCTGTGTTACGTGTATAGCCTTGGCATTCTTATTTTCGTAATAATTTGTGAATGGGTGTGAGATAATTATACGAGGCGTTTAAAATTCAGTTTCGGTACGCTTATTACGACAGGCACGATTGCTTTACCTGTACAAAGATAATTTTTAGGTATAAAGTTTTTGCACGTTTTGCTTAATTTTTGCAATTGTTTTTTCGTAACTTCTAAGAATAAGAAGTGGCAAAAAATATAAATGTTTTGTTTTGATGGAATGCAAAAATATTCTGGCTTTAAAGATAAAATTATTGCAATTGGCTAATTGAAAGAGTTTGTAAAAAGATGAACTCTTTCCAAACAGATTAGAAGATAATGGAGTCAATTAATTACTTTTGTCTGCAAAAAACATTTTATTATTTGAAGTTTATCAACGAGGTAAACATGCCTTTGATGAAAGTTTTCTTTTTTATTACCTGTGGCAGCTATTAAACTAGTAATCAAATTGGAAGGTTTTATTGTTCTGTGAGCTCTAATAAAGCTGCGGTATCAAGAGTAATAAACATTACAAAACAACAAGCCTTAAGTCCATAAAATTGAAATGACTCAAGGGAGTTTTGACGAATACGTTACAATATTCTGACTATTAAAATATAACTGAGATGTATAATTTTCATAGTCATTAGACCTCACTAACCTTTTTAATTGTTCTACTTTGTCCCTAATGCCACAAATATCCTTGAATATGCAAAGTTGATGGTTGAAACAGTTTAATTTTATGTGACTTTAATAACCTATATAATCTAGTCGACAACTCAGAAAGCTTTTGTGACAAATAAAACGAGATAAAAATAATTAAAAGACGTTTACGTTCTGTCTCAGGACTTAAATTTCCTACCCAGTAAGGTGAAATAATTTGACTGCCACAATGAATTAAGTAAATAATCATGATAACTTTTTTTTTGCTTTCCAAGTGGCTAGCAAATATAAAAAGTTAACTGTACTAAATTGTTTACACTTTATCTATTACATTAAATCGGTCTCCAAGCTGAACTAATTCCAGTTTATCTTGTAATTCAGCGGCAACGTAATTGCGCG